GACAACACTTACATCATTGACCAATAACTCTATAGAGGACTGCTAATCTCCATCCTACAGATGGCAAATCTCGAAAAGGTCAAAATCCCGTCTTACAACTAGATGGCGCTGATCAATAACCTAAAAGTAGTTTATATGTAAATGGCCGTGGATATCAATTAATTCCTCTTTAATATGAAATATGCTTAAATCAGTTTTTTCCTTGTAATATTATTCAAATATTAACCATGGGCTAAAATTAATTTCTGAACTTTGACTATATAACAGATGACGTTATGTGTTACAAAACACTTTATAAATTAACGCTTACTAATATGATTAGATGGCGCTAATATTAAACGAACTATAAAAATAGCCGATCCATAAAAACCAGTGCAATAAGCGCCACCTAGTTGATTTGTCTGTTATTACCAGGAATGGATACTAGGGTTCGATTTCCGCGGCGGGAAAAATATTTCTGCCGTCCACTAACTAAAAGACGGCTAAGTGACAAATGGTCACTTAGCCGGTCACAGGGTTTCTCTAGTACCAGGCTGTGAGTGTGCTTTAAAAAAAAGTTATACCACAATTACTTTTACAGCTCATATGTGAAATGTTAAGTTTGTCACTTTTCTTCAAACTTATCGCAGAATCAACGGTTGGTTAGAGTGTCAGCTATTTTGAGGTATCGACTGTACCTACCTTCTCATAAATACATTTATACCAAACATTCGTTTACAAAGCTACCCTAACCTAACCCTATTGCATTATTTAGTAAACCCCAAATACCTGAGTAGATGATTAATATTAATAACATAGGTAGCTAAAGATTTATTACCATAAAATTTGTTTTCATCATACAAACATAGTAAAAACAGCAGGCAAAGTCGACAGTAATGTTCTAAATTATATCCGCGGGCTTTTTCATTACATTAGAAATAAAAGTATCATTAAATTATAAAAATATCAAACCTAGATTAAAAAAGTACTTTTTAGAAAAAAATACGTAATAATATATATAATAATGATAATTTATATTAAAAGTAATTATATTAGTATGTAATAAATATTATACCTATTCAACTTTAATTAACAATATTATGCATACTAACTCCATATAATACATACGAAAAAGTTTTTATTACACTTATTATTTTATATTGTATTATATTATATTATATTAGAATTAGTATATTATATCCGTGTTCAACAGTAGGATGTACAAAATTGTAAGTTTATTGACACCCTATATTACCGAACTCACGCACACCACGAAATGTCAACACGAAGGAGTACGAACGCGCACACTACACATAGAAATATTTTTGTACGACGAATGAGCGGTATACAGAAAAACTTAGTTAAGTTTATGTTATACTGGAATGTTTTGTTTTTAAATACTTTTAAATGTAATAAATACAATAAATTAAAAAAAAAAAATTATCGCCTTGTGGATTTTTTACGTCAATATTAAGCAAAAAGTTTTTATGTTTGAAAAATTTGGACGTACATTTCTCATAAACTTCAAGTATAAAAAAATTAAACATTTGCAATTTATATTTTACTAATTTTATTTGGTGAATTCAAATTCTGCAGTACGTTTTGAATTTGGAAATTATTTATTTTATATCTAATACATTGTGGCTGCATGCGTCTGTTTTTTTTTATAATATCAAGCGACGGGACGAACGAGTCGTGTATGCCTGATGGTAAGCTACACGCCTGTCCATAACAGTTCTAGTGCCAATCAGTGCTTTAAATCGCAAAAATATGTAAGGAGTACTTCCCTAGACGAACTCTTTCACAAGGAGCTCTAATGCTCTTTGTGTCTTTTATAATATTTTAGTTCGAGTTGTATTATCTATGGAAGAATTTTTTTTTTAATAGCCCTGCCATTTGCGAAATCCGTACATAAATGTCGTGTTGTGAAGCGATATTTATTCATACAAGAAATAAATTATCGTTGTGTCCATGTTCTCGCAAATGTGATGAAACATTTGTACTCGGCGGTAAAAATTACAAACTTTTAAAGCCCTCAGCCCTCAACTTCGGGTTTTTAATAAACTCTCGTTAGTAATTATTTACCGTCCGCGCCCTTATTACACAACGTACTATTAAATATGGCGCGCTGTCGCCTTGCGTACTGCCTGTACTTATGTTTGCACAAAAAATCTGCTCATGACCGATGATCTGTAAAAAACCGAGGTTATTATACTGCTTATTCCAACAATTCTGGTCATTGGCACTAATACATATAATATATGTAAATAGAGTACAGTTGGCGTACATAAAAAGGCAGGTGTAATCTATTGTTAAAACTTAATAGGGCATGCGCTAGAAAAACACAGTAACACAATCAATAACAATTATATGTCACCAGCCAACCAGCACTTCAAACAAAAACCAAAACCAATTAATCTTTATTTCTTATTTAACCAAATTACACTTGAAATAGTCATATTGATTAAACTCTGCTCCTCATTCGTAAAGCAGAATCCCCCAAGAAGAACAATAAATTGTAGGGGTTGCTCTTTGTAAATAAACATTTGTATACATTTTACAATATTAATTTACCTCGAAATTTTACAAGGAAACCGCTGTATTCAATAAGTACTTCACATAAACCCATGATTTTTTTTTATATCAACTGAACTAAATAGAACACGTATAATACAGCGATATGCATTTTTAAAATTGTTTTTAAATACACTTGTATAAAAATAAATTCTGAAATAAAGCAACGGACAAAAAACCGATTAAACACGGGAAAAATTTGAACTTGAACGGAACTTTGAAATTAGTGTCGACACTAACTAATCTAACTCTGATTTTATATGTTATATGGAAAACTAGAAAGTTTCGACTTTTCCTTACAAGACTTAAAGTTTTTTTAAATCGCATTCTAATTTAAATTGTAATAAGTATTTTCCAAATGCACATTTGACATTTAACCAGGATCGATATGATAGATCTAGACAACCTGCATGAGCTGAACGGGTCACTACCATGGATTATATTTATTTCTTATTTAATTGTCACCTTTTGGTACTTGTATTACTCTTGTACTCAACAAATACATTATTTATTTATTATTTATGTTAATGAATACGTAAAGTAACAGGCAACAATTAGTTTATTAATAATTGCCTGGTCTCAGACTAGGGAATTCCCTGTACTAAAAGTACCATAGTAATGAATAGCGGCATCACCCAGAACACTCACACTAGATCTAGTTTAAAATGCTTTAATTCCTAAACTGGTCTTACCGAGAACCGAACCCGGGGCATTCTAATCAATCGCTCACAGTGCTAACCGCTATGCCACCGAGGTTATCGAAAGAAACAATTTCATAAAAATATTATTTCGGTACAGATACGGAAGAGCAGATTTATTTCCCGGAGAGGATCCATTTTTCTTTCACCCCGTAAAGGTGTAGAGGGGCTCCCTTTCATCACCTCTTACTAATGGCCCATATTATTATAAGACACGAAGGGCGCAAAGAGCCCTTTACAGTGCGCGCTCTCCGTATTGAACCACTATTTCTAGTGATTCAATAGAACGTGCCAAAAGGATATTGTAAAGAAATTGTTAAAATCTGCCATTAAACCTTAAGTCGTTGAAGAAAGATTCAAATTGCAATAGCCAATACAGTTTGTTGTATTATAATGTGTAACTATGAGTACCTACTTTTTGAATAATTGATTTGTTATATCAATAGGTTTTCTTTCAACTCATACAAAATAATTTTATTTATAGGTATCCTATTTATTTTATAAATCGAGCAAAGTACGATATTCCCAACTACATATCGTCTACTTAAAGGTAAATCCACATAATGATATTATTAATTAGTGACACTTTCCACAAAAAATCTCCAAATTATATATATCAGTTGTATGAAATTCACCATCTTTTTGCAGATTTAAGTTTATAGCGTTTTCGTTATTGAGTTTCACTTGCAGAAAGATAGTGATTTTCTTACCATAGCTATATAAATTAAATACTTTTTGTGGAAAATGTCACTTATGTGGTTTTACATTTAAACAGACGATATAATAAATATATACAATCTAGGTATTGTCTTCTGAACCTACAAATTTAAACTCTAACGTATAAATTTAAGGCGCAAATTCTCAGAATTTCATTTGAGAACTCGGGTGTTCTGAATGAACATAATATTTTTGTGCCCTTACTTTTTTATTTTACTCTTTAATTTTTATTAAATTAAAAATATATTTTTATTAAAATAAAAGATAAGGTGAGCATAAGTGATCTCATTCGAACAACTCGTTAATCACAAGTTCGTTGCTACACAAAGTATAATGATATTTAATTTAAATATATTATTATATTCTTGAAGTTTTGCGCGAGTGGTCATAATTAATTTATTAGAAAATTGTTTTTACGTTTCGTAGACTTTCACTTTTTATAATTCAGAAAATACCAGAATTAGTAGCAGATAGCATAAAAAAAATGACAATTTTACTATGATATTTCAAAATTAAAATACTCAAGAATTAATAAGAATGAATAGGAAATGAAACTATTTTTTCGGATTTAAATCGCGTATATTTGTTTTTTCAAACAAACCAAAAAACAAAACAAAAGATTTGTGAAAAAGCAAATATACGCGATTTAAATCCGGAAAAATAGTTTCATTTCCTATGTGTAACAATCGCGAAAACCTAAGAACTCGATAATTTGAATGAACTTAAACTTGAACTAAACATAAAACGTAAAACGGAACGTATCGGAGCAAGTAGTTTTAAAACTCGTCAACAGATGGCGGAAGCGGGAATAACTGCTTTACCACAGCCATGAACCAATGAAATGACGAAAAGTGGCCTACTTTTGTGACGTCATTATTTCCACGTTCGAAGTTGTCGGGAAATGTCATGTTTTTATTTTATTTTGTAAACTAAAATGCTTGTAAATGTTATTTAAGTTGTAAAAACATCATCAAAATCTATGATACTGTGAAATTTATAATACGACTATTGTGCTATATATATCTTTAGGATGACCTTTGAATGGAAGTTGGCTAATCAAAATGACTCATGAATACGAAGACAATGTGAACAGGATCTTGGAGTATCTCACAAGAAATGACCAGGAATTGGAGAATGTTAATTTGAATGTGGACAGCTTCCAGCAAGATAGTTTGATGGTTAGTATTAAATCGTATTCGACGTAAAGATACCGGGTTATCAACCATTGATAAGGTTGGTGGATAGATGTTAAAAGCCGCGACGTAGGTAGAGGCCGTAGAAAACGACTGATTAAAAAATAAGTGTAAACAAATTGCGGATCAAAGCGAGTGAAGCGCCAGACGCTCGTAGAAGTAATAGTGATTGGCGCGAGTGAATTGAACTTGGTTAAGCAGCTTTCGTGGGCTACACTCCCACTTTTACCGTTATCCGTTCATTTCGTTTTCAGTACGAACGTGGCTCGCTCGCCGACGCCTCTCCTACGATTATATACATTTGCACTTATTTTCCTGATTTAATTAACGTCCTAATTAGTGCGTCAGTTTTCCGTAACGAGGTTATTGTTGTATTGAGTGCGCTAGTTCTCGCGGCCGCCGGACTCCAATCGTAAACACGGCGACGATATACATAATAGATTGCCACCTAGGCACCATGCGGTCGGTGCGACTGCCATATGCCATCTAAATTTCCACCGGTGAATTCTTAAATTGAACTACGAAGAGATAGTGAATGGTCTACTAAAAGTTCTTCAAGTTTCAACTAAATTCCAATTTACTTTTGCAGATTCAAAGTGTATTTTCTAATGTTATAAGTGTTATTGTTGTATAATCAATGCTATAGTGAAGTGTCCAACATGGATAAAAAACTTGATCTAATGTCTTTATTTGAGGTAAATTTTTGTTTTAATTTATCTAACTTTTAATTTGTGACTTCCAGTGTGATGTAATACTTTACTTACAATTCTTATCTTGTAGTTCTTGTTCAGATATCAAGTGTTTGTATCACCTTTATAAATGTCCTATTTATTTTATCAGGTAATAAAAAAGATAAATATTAATTTATAAAACAATATCTCCATCTACTTACTACCTATGCATCTGCGAATACTTCATGATTACAATGGATTGTAATGGAGAGTTATGATGAAAGTTTTTGTTTAATGATGAAACTTCTGCATTAACAATATTCTATCATCATTATTCATCAAGAATTAAGAATATATTTTACGTAATATTACAGAACATAAAAAAAGAGAGTAGTGCTTCTGAAACATTCCTTTCTCTTACACTTCAAGTACCAGTTTGAAAGTGAGTTCACTTCGTAATTCACAGACTGTGATGAAATGCATTATCAGAATTTATTATGTACTATTTCAGACTTTTATGGGACAATAATCTTTTGGAAGATTTAGTACTTAGTCGCAATGGAAATTTATCAGAGATTTTAAATAATGACGATAACTTCAAAAGCGCATTTATCCAATCTATCTATATGTATAACTTCTGCTACCAGGTGTCCTTTTAGAACAGAAAATAGATAGTCCACTTTGTCCTTGTTGAGTTGTCATAAATCATCTCTGATAAAAAAGCAATTTATTTGGAATGGAGTAAGAGAACTTTAACAAGTGATTCCATTAGAATTTAGTAGTGTTAATGATTTTAGTTAACATTGTGCAAACTACATAATATTTTTTGCACTAGAAGAAAACAAAAAACGCTGATGACATTGCCCTGCAACAAGAGATTGTAAAATGAGTCATCTTGCTAAGCAATGTTTTAATCATCGTATTACAGGTTGACAGCACATTTAGTAATAGCCTGTATTGCAAAAGCATAAGATGCACTTTTCTAAGTAAGGCGTTAAATATTTTTCGTTACAAATTAGTTGCTAATTTAGGCGATTACCTAATTGCTAATTAACTTTCACAAGAAAGCAATAAAGTCGTTGTAATTTGGCTTTATTTTGTATTAACAAAGGTGATTCTGTTTAATGATGACATCATGAAGTGAAATGTTTGATATAAATAAGTTTTGGATAAAATTAATCTGTTTATTATTATTTAATTTGGTGTTATATTTAAATTTAGCAATGCCAATTATGTAAATAAGTTTTAGTTATGGGGTTTATTTTTTGGTTATTTGGACAATTAAAATTCAGAATATCTTTACTTGGTACTTGGTGTAACGGGCTGGTGTCCGCAACTCGACGTCAAGGCGCCTATTTTGCGTGTTAGAATATCTTTATTTCATGGTATACAAAATTAAACATTACTCATCCTTATGTTTATTTTTAAAATTCTTATAAGTATAGGGCCTTTATTTTGATTGTACAGTATGTCCTTCACAAACTATGCTATCTACAAAGGGATACTACTTCCGGGTAACTTATTCTACTGTTATAAATGAAACTTTTCATTTAGGATATTAAAATTTACTATATTTCTATCACAATTTTACTGCTATTAACTATCTGGTATTAAATAAGTATGACTATTTTTATGTACGAATATTATCTAAAAAAACATCCATTTAGATAATGCTGTGTGATTTTAATACGAGAAGTTGATTTTATGATTGTATAATAAATTGATTTAGTCAGACCTTTACACCAATTACACAATACACAAATACCACAGGAATGACCAGAACAATTTTAACTTAAAATCGAAGCTGTAACTGATGTAAGTGATTACTATACATGCGTCCAAATTCGTGTTGAAAGACTATTTCTCTTTTAGGCGGACCCCTGGCCGGCCTCCGATGACCTCCTGGAGAACATCTTCTCCCTGGAGCAGGGTTCCTTGAACTTCCTCGAGGAGTCAATGCCCGACTTCAACCTTTGCGCAGACAATGGCTCACAACCCGAAGGACTTAGCAGCTCCAGTTCCGACAGTGGACTCTCTAGTGACCAGGCTGAATAGTGAGTACCCTTTTGAAGGAAACTTGGCGATTTATGTACTAGGCAGCCTCTTGAATTGCAGATGGCAGCATATCAGGCTACACGTTGTCGGATCTTGTACTGTTACTATTAAGGCGATATTCGAACACAAGTGTGTGGCTTGATATGCCGTTAATTGTACGATGGATAGCGATTTCACACGTTTGAAAATAATAATAATTAATTTATTCACTTCAAATAGGGTTGTGAACCTTGTGAACTTGCAGGTTTTTTCCTTCATCGTTCACGAATGATCGTTACTTAGAAATTAAGTTCAAACTGCTTTCGTGGTCGATCGGTTACCATATTGAACTGTCATGCAGAAGTTCCGGGTTCGATTCCCAGGCTGGGAGAAATATTTATATGGCCTACAATCATTTCTCTAGGGATTTTGTGTGTAATTTGTGGTTGTCTATGTGTGTGTCCATGGCACCTGCGATACAGGGTTTCCTTAGTGCGGGGCTATGAGTGTGTGCATTATTATTATAAAGTCAATCCTATGACGTGCTCCTACACCACTGCTACCACAGGAACTCGAAACATCGATCTCACAATCGAGAAGCAACCGTGCTACCATTTTTACTTTACGCTGTTCTCAGTGGCGTACACCTCAAGCGGAAGTCATTTAATTGTTCTTATGTAATATACATATAATGTAGGTACATATGACACATAGACACTTACTGTCTCGTAATTTCACATACGGTGTTTGCAGTTATAAACAAACTATGTACAGTATCAAGCATCACATAAGCGAAATAAAAATACTATAACCGCATTGTTTTATTGAACTTTCAATACAAACTTTTCGTGATTCATAAATGATAAAATTGTTTGGTACAATCGCGTACACACTCAAAGCCCCGCAGTAGAGAAACCCTGTATCGAGGGTGTCACCGACACACACATAGACAACCACAATTACACCTAAACTGACGAGAGAAATAAATGTAGGCCATACAAATATTTCTCCCGGCCCGGAAATCGAACTTGGGACCTATGCGCGACAGACCAGCGTGGTAACCGTTTGGCCACGGAGGCTTTTGCAACATACAATGAAAAAGAATGCGATGTTATTTGATTTACTATGTTATGAGAGAGAGAAGAGCCCAGCTGGATAACGGCTGCTTTTCAATAGAAAGGCCGACGGTTCGTATCCCTATAACGTCATGTACCAATGACATTAATTTCTAAGTTAAGTACGTTTGTGTTGTTTTATAAATCTCGATAATTGTGAAGGAAATTTGTGATAAAACCTGCATGCCGAAGAAGGTTCACAACTATGTCTGTTATGGACTAAAACCTCTCGTTAGAGGAGATCCGTGCTCAGCAGTGGGACACATATTGAGTTATCACTTTCTTTCACGTTCACGGGTTTCTTACCACGGTATGATATCTTTTCGTGGATACATTGAGTGAGAATAAAGTGAGTGAGGTTTGTCGGAAGAAAGTGAGTGACAATGATAACGCTACGGGTAACCGAAGATGAAGGTAATCGTCGACTGCGAAAGAGGGTAGGCAGTTATGTTTATGTTTAAAGCTGTCGTTTGCTCTGCCGTACTTACCATAAATAACGTAATCTATGTTTCTTTTTTATATAAAAGGTACAACAGCAAAACAGAACTATTCACATCATAATACAAACAATGGTATCAATGTAAATGTGTTCACCAATTATAGGCCTATACAACATTTGCCAAGAACTACGAGTATCTAAATCCTTTCACAATAAAGCGTGAAACAGGTGGAGTGGAGTCATTTGCCTGTCAGGTATAAATAAAAAAAAAAAAAAAAAAAACACAAAGAGCGCGTGTTGGTCGGACGCGGGTTGGGTCGGGACCGCGGCGGGTTTAATCCCGTGTATTTATTTGAGTCATGCAACTTAGGGCCCATATAATATAAAGGACTTATATAAAAACTAAATAAGTAATCTACACAATGCACTTCTATACTATAAATACACGGAATTAGACCCACCGCGGTCCCGACCCGACCCGACTCGCGCCCGACCCGACCCGACTCGCGCCCGACCCGCACCCGCTCTCTGTATTTTTCACGCTTAAGTTCAGGTTTAAACAATTCAAAAGTCATTTAAGCGAAATTGAATTATTAACACACCTGGAATCAGCAAAATGAGATCTACAACCCCTATACACTGAATTTTTTAATTCTCATTTAGTTTCATATTTGTTGCTAAACAAAATCAGCGCATTTGACATTTTTTTTTTAAAAAAAAGGTTAGTTGCCATATCTTGAAAGTCCGAAATACAAATACCTTATTTGTTGTGTTGTTGCTGTGCTGCCCTCAACCCGCGATAGAGCGCATAACCGTTTCGAAATATAGGGAAAGCAAACAGAAATAACACTTTTTTATTTATAATATTAAGTGACGGGACGAACAAAGTGCTTTGGTGGTAAGCTACACGCCTGCCCACAACAGTAGAAATGTCCGATTTTGACTTGAATAAAGAGAATGAAAAATTGAGAGGTACTTGATTAATTGACTGAAGATTTACGTTTTCTAATATCAAAAAGGGTAAATTTACAGGGTTATGGACCCAACAGTACGTCTTCACCGGCGTGAAACCACACAGTTAAGTGCCAAACATCTTAAAAAGTAACTGAAATAGGACTGGATCTTCTCAAATACTTGAGTACCATTCAGTGCCGTATAAATGCTACAGGTAATTGCTAATTCAAAGTATATGAGATGACTTATACTATTGAAGTTAACAAAACGATAGGGCGTTTCAGAGTACAACTAATGCCATCTAGCAGTGGCGTGATGGAACTAATTGCATGGTAAAGTTGTGCTTGTTACAATTGTAGTTTGATTTCTTTGTTTAAGAATATATTTTCTTAAAATACACCCAAGAAATTTTGAATACATTTAAGATTATTTAAATTTGATGTAAGAGGTAAAAATTTCTTGATGTAAGTAATGTCCAATTAATTGATTAGAAATGATATAAAATCTTGAAGTGAACGTATTTGTCTAAAAGTTAGAATAAAGTTAAGAGTAAAATTGTATTAGAAAAAGATAAGCAGTATTTTTGTAATGGCAATATTTTATTATTTTTAATAAATATTTTTCAGAATTAGCAAATACTTTGAGAAATTGCTCTTTCTTATTAGCAGAAATCCTTTTTTTCTGTGCATATGCCTGTAATTTCACTAGCACCTTTACCCTTCAAAACCGGAACGCAGTAATGTTCACATTACTGTTTGGCGGCAGAAATAGGTAAGGTAGCAGTACTTCCCCGAACGAACTCTTTCAGAACGAGCCCCACTGCTACTGTACTGTGATAGGAAACATGTAGGTATATAATGAAAATAATTTAGTAAATAACCATGAAGGCCTTAAAATGTGTATGTATGTTGACGATGACGTTATGACGCAGAAATAAGTGAGTCTTGGTGCAACGCCGCTGTGATATTTAATTTCTTTTTAATGTTTCAAGCGCCTAACTTAACGATGCCGCGTATAGCGAATCGTACGCGATTAGAATGTTAAATTACGGAATTGATACATACCTACAATGGAACCATAAAAAGTTTATGACTGTAATAAAAAAATTTCAAGTCAAATGTAACTCACGAATTAAGGAAATTTACAAGATCTCTTTACTGTTTTCTGGATAATGCTTACATTGAAATGCTTTTTTTTTAAATATATTTATTTATAGGCCTACCGCTTAACTGAGTCGGTTCCTGAGGTAGTTGCGCGGTGCGAAGGGAGTGACAGTTTACGTAACAGCGACATACGCACTGTACAAACGATAATTTCAACAAATTTGTTTGACGATGTTCAACAACAAGTTGATTGAAAAAATAAAAGAATCGGTGACACCTATCAGAACAGAAATTAACAAAGTACCTAGCGATACGTGGACATAGGAAATAACCATGGGACCTGTAAAGGGCCCGTCGGAAACGTCGGTCGGAAAAATAGTTTCATTTCCTATGTGTAACAATCGCGAAAACCTAAGAACTCGATAGATACGTGGATAGTTAAACCAGTTGTCTCAGAGGTTTATGAAATATCCTATATTCTCCCTTGTTGCTTGTAATTAACCAACGATAAAGAAAAAAATGGCTGTCTTTCAATTTGTTATTATAATACCTACAGTAGCGTCTAATAAATGTATTTTTGGCGTAATTTGTAGAACATGGAAAACAATGAAAGGTATTTTTGGGACATTTCTAGTTTTGAGAGATGACAATTCAATAAAAAGTTAAAATACAGTGAATAGCGACATCTCTCGCCAGGGCTGGTAACTGTAAAGATATCTAACTGTTTGATAAAACTTTCATAGATTTCTCAAAGATGGCGCTACGACTAAAAAGTCGTTGATAAAACCAAATACAAAGATACGACGCAAGCACATAGAAACATTCGTGACGTCCGTTGGTTCGTTCCGTGACTTAGTTAGTGCAGCGTCTGGCACGGTAAGCTAGAAGACGTCGGTTCGAATCCGGCCGATTTTTTCTGAGCGTTCGATTCTTGTATTAATAATTAGATTTATTTAATAAAATAAAAATAAAAATCACAATTGCGAGCAAAATAGCAAACTTCTTCCAGTTAGTGGGAACGTCATCTGTCAAAGTAAAAAAAATAGTGCGGGACACGGGGTATCGATTCGAGACGTCAAGTGCTGCGCCATCCGCGTAGTTTAGTCGATCTTCTTATCACTATATGTCAGCTGGTAATCGTAATGACCATAAATAATAAACTTACCTAACAAAATAAAAATTGTTAAACATAAAGCGTGTCATGTTCGGTGCATTAACATAATTCCATAGAGAGAATGGTTGCCAAGGAGTGGTTATAGTAACATCAGACGTCGTCAAATTCGCGGACTGTAGATGGGTGAGACTAGCGCAAGATCGTGATTGACGCTTTAGACTGCGAAAGGACAAATCCTGTAGTGGGTGAAATAGGGCTGTGGATGTTGATGAAGAACACTTAGGAATATTCAATG